TCTTTCCCTGAATGACTTCTTCTTTCCATCCCTTCAGTGTTGGGGCCCCTGGATTTCTGTCCACAGACTCGCTTTCACACTTTCCCCCAGGGACTCTCACCCACCCCCAAGACTTGCATCCTCACCTCTATGCTGATGTTCTCCTGGTCTGTAACTCCAGCCTTCCTCCCCACGCTGTGCTCACGCCCCATCTCTCTGGCTGTCTACTGGATGTTTCCGGTTGGAAATCCCGCAGGCGTCTCCAGACCCTACCATCTTCTCCACAAACCTGCTCTTCCTCCCAAATTAGTGGATTGACCAGTCAGCAGGCCAGCCAAGCTAGGAAGGTGGGATTTGTTATGGGCCTTGCTGTGAGACTGGGAGCCTGTTGTGATAACTCAGGAGAGACCATGTGGACCTCCTAGTCTTTCCCTTTGTAATCCATTGCTTCAGCCCTACCCGAGGGGTGGATCTAAAATGCAGAACTGGTAACTTTATTCCCTTGATGAAAATATTGCAGGATTTTTTGGATTCTGAGTGAAATCCCCAGACCTTACCATACAAATCTGGCTCACTTCTCTACTTTTTTCATCATGTACTACCATTCAGTTGTAATGAATGACTTGATCATTGCTCAGGTGTGACTCGTACCTTTATACCTGTAGTACCTCCTCTTAGAATGCCCTTCTCTCCTTTTCTGGCCAAATGTCCTTGTCCTTCAAGATGGGCCTTCCTCTGGGAGCTCTTTCCTGGCGGCCACCCCTAGTGCAGGTTAGCTCACTGTACGTACGATTTCTTTTGCCATTTGTATTACTGTTTATTTTCTGTCTTCCCAGATGGTGTTCCTTGGGGATAGGAACTGCATTTCATTCATGTTTGTGTCCCTAGCTTGATATGTGCTCATAGATATTTATTGAGTGAATCAGCAATTCTCCCCTTGCTTGCTACTGACACCTATGGCTGTCCTTCAAGATACACCACAGTTTTCTTTATTCCACCATCCAAAACATATGCCTTCCTCTTCCTTTGCTTGTACCCTCAGTCTCAGGCTGGACCCTAAGTCCTTTCTACCCTTTGGGCTCATTTCCTCTCTCAGTAGCTATCCTTTCTGTGCATCCTTTTCATTTGGTCTGAAATGCTCATGTTTTCCTCCTTTTATCTAAATTCTACCCCTTCATTCAAGGCTTGTCCCCTATTCCATTACTTTATGAAGCTTTTCTTGATATTAATGCTTAATTATTCTCTTTTGCTTTCTTTGCATTGGTTTTGGCTGCAGTTGATTATCAGCTTCATACAGGCAGGGATCAAGTCTTCTCTTTTTACTCCATAGCACTTACGTTGTGTGCCGCATACTGGATAGCCTATCATTGTTCATTGACATGCAGGTGACCCTCCAAGATGAGGGCAGAGCTGTCTGGCAGTCTGGCTCTTCAGGATGGGGTAGCTTTCAAACATATTTCGATATCTCTGTAAGAAAAGGGTTTTTTCAATGTAATTTTAATTTTCTGTTTATCTTCTTATCAGAGTACCAGAGAAGCAGAAATCAAACTGAAAAGTGAAAGCAGAGTTAAACTTTTTTACTTGGACCCAGATGCTCAGGTAAGAACTATTTTAATATTTAAAATAGTTCAAGGAAAGAAAACCTTTGTTAGATTATTTGTTTGTTTGTTTGCTTATTTATATACTTTGGATAACAAGCAGTATAACAATATAGAAAATTCAGGAGAAAGAGGAAAAAATAAAAACAACCTGTAATCTCATTACCATAGCACAACCATTGTGAATATTTGATATTTAATAGATTGTTGAAAATTGAGGGAGATTTATCCAAAGACACTCTCAAGTCCACAAAGAACATATATAATTTACCCCCTAAAATCACCATCAGAAGATAACAAGCATCGCAACAGATGCCCAGTAGACTGTGATATTTTCTGACTAGCCCAAGCTCAGTTCCAAATACAAGCCTTGCAGTACATGCGGTCCACATCTGTGTCCCAAAAAAATCCAAAACACGGCTTGGGAGGGCCTCCAGGGTTGCCTACAGATAGGGCTGCTTTGAGGGGCCAACTGTTCTGCTGTGTTTCCTCCCATATTTTCCTCTTCTTCATTTGTGGTCTTTTTATAGAACTTCTTTTAACCATTTATCTTTAAACATAAGTATTTTTCTATGTCTCTTCACAGACTTCATAACCGTATATATACACACATATATATATATATATATTTTTTTTGCTTTTTGATGATTTTTTGTTTATTGTGGTGAAATACGCATAATATAAAATTTACCATTTTAACCATTTTTAAGTGTACTCTTCACTGGCGTTAGGTGGATTCACATTACTGTAAAACTATCACCACTATCCATTTCCAGAACTGTTTCATCCTCTCAAACAGAAACTCTGTACCCATTAAACAACAGCCCACCATGCCTCCTTCCCCTCACCCCTAGTAATCTCTATTCTACTTTCTGTCTCTATGAATTTGCCTATTTAAGAAGTTCATATATGTGGAAGCATACAATATTTGCCTTTTTATGTCTGGCTTGTTCCACTTAGCATAATGTTTTCAGGGTCCGTCCCTGTTATAACTTGTGTCAGAACTCCACTTTTTATGACTGCGTAATATTCCATTGTATGTATATACCACATTTTGCTTATAGATTTTTCTGTTGATGGACACTTGAGTTGTTCATAACAATAATTTTTAAGCTCTGCATAATGATCCATTGAGTAGATACAGCATCATTTATTTGACCATTATTGTATACTATATAAATGTATAAAATAGTAACACTGTTGTGAGTAAAGTAAGGTATATAGCATTTCCATATTTTAAGCAATTTCCTTAGGATACATTTATTATGGGATTTTTCTTTTTTTTTTTTTTAGTGAGAGCATAATACATTTATATATTTGCATTTTCTTTTAAAGAAGCTTGACTTCTCATCAGCTGAGCCAGAAGTGAAGCCATTTGAAGAAAAGTTTGGAAAAAGGATTCTTGTCAAGTGCAATGATTTATCTTTCAATTTGCAATGCTGTGTTGCTGAAAATGAAGAAGGACCCACTACAAATGTAATTTTCCTTTTAAAAAATAAAGATTAAAAAGCCTATTCAGAGGTTTCAGATGTGCCTGTTGCAGTGCAGCTGGGACATTCAGACCTAGTTCCTGGTATCAGACAGATGCGGTGTTAGACCAGGGTGCCGAGGGTTGTTACGGCTGCCTGGACAGGATGTTTGTGATACAGGACAGGTATGGGGGCTATTGCTCTTTAGCAGTAATTTATAGCAACAATCATACATAGGTCTAGTCATTTCTTCTTTGATAGCAGCATTCTTTTTTCCTGACAGTTTGAGCCATAGTGATGGTCTGGATTGTTTTGTTTTGTCCAGGTCGAGCCTTTCTTTGTTACTCTATCCCTGTTTGACATAAAATACAACCGAAAGATTTCTGCCGATTTCCACGTGGACCTGAACCATTTCTCAGTGAGGCAGATGCTGGCCACCACATCCCCGTCTCTGATGAACGGCGGTAGGCAGAGCTCGCCTGCCCTGCAGGACATCCTTCACGAAGCCGCCATGCAGTATCCGAAGCAGGTGGGGGCAGCGTGAGCCCAGCGGTCATGCCAATAAGGCTTCTCTTGCACGTGCTACGTAAACACGTAATGAAACTTTGTAATGCACAACTGGGGTAAATGAGACGGTTAATTATATTGACAGCATATATAATTAGACAGTAAAAGCAAAAGCTGAAAGAGAAGTAGTTTTTGATTTCTCATTTCTTTTTTCTAAACTTTCTGCTAGTTGCCTCCTCCACCAAATAGGCTTTTTGATCAGATGATGACCTGTTGATGAGTTAACCATTTTGGCCCTGGGTGCTTCTGAATAGCCATACTGTATCAGTGCTCTTGGCTGCTTGAGAATCTTTAATGTTTATGGGATTTGTTTAATGTGGCTGTAAATTCTACTCATGGAAGAAAATCTTTTGTTCCCTAGGGAATATTTTCAGTCACGTGCCCTCATCCTGATATATTTCTTGTGGCTAGAATTGAAAAAGTGCTTCAGGGGAGCATCACACATGGTGCTGAGCCATACATGAAAAGTTCAGACTCTTCTAAGGTATGGATGACTGGCATGCTTTGTGATGATTAACAGCAATCAGAAAAAAAATAGAGAGAAATGCTTAAAGAAATCACGGTTAAGCCATATTTATATTCTAAAAGGTGTAGACTAGTCTCATAGATTGTCTTATAGTTAACCTTGTGTGTCCAATTTTCAGTGAAAAGTAGTTCCATGTGTAAATAAAATACTTCCTTTGGCTAGACTATCCTGACATCCTGAAATAATTGGCAAAGGAATTTCCAGCTTAGTAGTAAACTTTCTATCATTAAAAAGTATGTATATTGTATCTAAATAGAGTTCATTCCACTTGTTGGCATGTCTCCAAGGTCCTGGAATTATACATTTGGGTCCATTTACACTTAAATGTGAGACTGGAGACTAGGAGGTGACCTGGCTCGGATGATCTAGCCGGTAGTGTCAGTAGATCAGGCGCACTTGTGTTTTGTCAGGTGGGGTGGGGCTACAGTGGCAGAGGTGTTGTGACATTAGGTGGAAGAGGGAAAGGAAACATACAAGATGTATGTTTGGTGTGTTTTCATTACTTTGGTGTTTGTTCATTACCTGGGGAGTGCCTAGGTGTGGACATACAGTAGAGTTTTTGAATATTAGAAGTCATCTAGGCCAAGAATACCTTTCACACTCCCCAAAACTGAGGTTTATGAAGGTTTAGTTACCTGCTCAGTGTCCCACAGCTAGAGTTGCCAACTGGCACTTGACTGTCACTTTCTAGCACATTGAGCTACCTGGTTCCAGTCAGCTGTTGAGTGCTGTCCTGTGCCAGTTTTACAGTACTTTTAGTTATTTAAAAAGAATTTTGTATTAGTGGTCATCTGAGACCGTGATACATTGACAAGGACTGGTCAGCAGTAGGAGGGGACACCCCAGAGGCTCTAACTGGGGTTTTCTGAGTGATTCAGAGCTTCCTGTCTTCCTCTCTTTGGCCACTGTACATCACAGGTGTGTCCACCAAGATGCAGAACGGTTTTTAAAGAACAGGTTCCAGGACTCAGAGACCTGGGTGCTGAGCTCCTAACTAGCCTGGACACATCACGTCACCTCTCTGGGCCCCAGGTGTTCCATCTGTAGTTGAAAGATGATGTTGCTACTCCCACCACCGCCTACATACGAGACAGTGCTATGGGTACTAAATCACTGACGCATATAGGAGGATGTCATTATCAATTATTACAGCTCCAGTCAAGGAGAAGCCCATTTACCCAGGCACATGGCTTCAAACATATGCCTTTCTGGCTGATAAAAGCAGAGTAAAATTTGGTCTCTGGAGAGAAACAGTTTTATTTTTAAAATCAACTCTGTAAAACCTTGGATGAGAAGCTCTTTTAGTTCTTTGATGGTTTGATTAATAATCAATGAATGCCCAAGATAAGATCTACTCCCCCGCCATGTATGCAACACATTTCCAAGTTTGGTATGCTCCAGCTTTGCTACTTCTGCCTGCCACGTGCATGGTTTGAAATTTGGCAGCTCACGCTGGTGTGAAAATCACATATCCCCCCAGGCTAGATGCCACACTTTCCAGTGTCCATTGAGCATCTGTTGAATTTGCTCCTGCTTCATTACTTATGGAACGTAAGGCTCAGCCATGTGTACATTTTTCCATGCGTTCACACCTCCAATGCAGTAAATTAAAGCAGAGATTAAGACTCAACCATCTCATATAAAAATAGGAGCTTCGGTAGAGATTTTGCTGAGGGATGATTTTTTTCTGTATATCAAAATGTCTCTTCACGTTTTCCGAGATGGCCTAGAACATCATTTGGAGGAAATTATTGTTTTGGAGGAAATTTTTAGGAATAGTCTCTGTAGGTGCCCACCACGAATAGATTTTCCAAAAAAGAAAGAAAAGGGGAGGGAAACCCAAAGGGCAAAAATGAGTTTTTCACTCTGACTTTTATATATGTTGTGTTCCATTTATACCCTCAGTAAGTCTGAGGGTTCAGTCCTCGTTCACTACAGGCAAGAGTGAAACTTATTTGAGGCCTGTTTAGGCTTTGAATTTTACGCAAATATTGCATTTTACTCCACAACATAGTCATTACTGTTAGAACCTAAAAATAATCATTTCTACCTGAAAATGTGTAAGTAAAAATGGCCACCCCAGGAAGGCAGACCATTTACTCTATGATCCCTGAGTCCCCGCATGGACATGCCCCACTTGAAGAAGAAAGGGAGGGGCTGGATGAGCTCCCGACACCTGTTTGAAGCGAGAAGTGTTTTCCAAGTCATTCATGAAGGCAGCAGTTCCCCCCCTCCACGGTTACGGTAGAATCGTCATGTTTAGTAACTGGAACGGATAATGGCAAGTCTAGCCCAAGCTGTTCATTTTGCGGGTGGGAAAGTAGAGCCCAGAGAGGTTTAGTGCTCTAGACTCACACAGCTGGTTTCAGTTTTACTCAGAGACAGAGAGCTCTATTGTTCTCCTTCTGAGTCTTCTAGATGAGCACTTCTCAAACCTGGCGCACACAGATCACCAGCGGTCTGGTCAGAATGCAGGTTCTGACCCAGGAGGTCTGGGGTGGGGCCCAAGACTCTGCATTCCTGACAGGCTCCCAGTGGGGCTGCTGCTGCAGCTCTGCAGAGCACACTTGAGTTTACAGGCACTAGGTCACATTTCCCAAAATTGGTTTGACTCCGATATACTTAAGTAATGTAAAAGACCCTTCAACCCCCTGCTCTGACTCTGAATCAGTCACACTTTGTAGTGGTAGTAATGCAGTATTCCAGAAGAAGCAAATTTGGGGAAATTGGGTGTCATCTGCTGTAGCAGTAGGGGTATAGTTGATGAATAGACCTGCCATGCATACATAGGCCAAAAGCAAATCTGCTTCCCTGTGCACTATAGAGTTATTAATCCAGCCACCCGCAACAAACCAAAATTAATCATTAGAAGTGAAAGTAATGGTAACTTATACCTAGAAAACAAGAACATAGTGATTGAAAACACTGGCCTAACTTAAGTCAATACCTGTAATGTCTTAATAATGAACATATATCCCCCAAATCTGGGGAGCCTGCATAAGTCAGTACACATTAGGAGTTATGAAAGCTTAGTATTTTCATTAGTATTCTCATTTAAACTCTAGTAATATGATATATTTGGGCATGAATACTAAGTATTAGTAATTATTAATAACTCAGTGGACTCATAATATACAGCCCTTAGTCATGAAGAAGTAGAAAGGCCTATGAAATGGCATATATGCTTGTTGCCAATGAAGACCAAAGAAAAGACATACATTTTGGAAACAATTTTCATTTGATATTCTTTGAAAATCACTGCTAGGGAACGTGAGAAGCAGAATACTCTGCACTGAGTATAAATCCAGCCATATTCACTGCAGTAAGGTGAGCTTGTCCATACATCTGATACTACCATAAGAGGTTGTTTAGTCTGCGGGATACAGTAACTCATGGTTTTATTCTGATGTCTTCAAGGTTGCTCAGAAGGTGCTGAAGAATGCCAAGCAGGCATGCCAAAGACTAGGGCAGTACAGAATGCCATTTGCTTGGGCAGCAAGGTAAGGAGAACATCTTTTATACCTTTTATATGGATGCAGATATATGGAGATAGAGAGGAGACAGACAGACAGACAGACTGACCTATTCTGTTTTTTTGTCCAGAGACAAAGAGGATTTAAATATGTAAAACTGAAAAATAAGTAAGCTCCATATCTGAAAAATCATTTATTAGAGACACAGAGAGGAGAGATGCTAGGTGGAGGATAGCAATGTTGGCACTGGCAGGATGGACATGAGTGTTTGTTGCAGAGCTGGGATTCCAGGTTCCAGCCACATGCCTCCAGCTGCGAGTGGGTGGCAGCCCAGTGAGGCCTGCAGATCCTCTTTATTTGTGGTCTCTATTTCTTAAGCATTTGGCTGTGTATGTTATTTCCTAAGCACAAGCCATTTGCTGGAAATGTTTTCTATGTAAATTGAGTTAGTTGTGTTCATCCTCATAAATATATTCCATGTCTTTAGATAATGAGATTTCTGCAGGCTGTAGCCAGTGGAATAATAATTAGTCTTTACATAGAAACCGGAGTCAAGTTATGGATTTATTTTGGTCATTTGGAAACAGCTTAGACGTGTTGTTTTGGTATTTCAGGACGTTGTTTAAGGATGCATCTGGAAACCTTGACAAAAATGCCAGATTTTCTGCTCTCTACAAGCAAGACAGCAATAAGCTATCCAATGAAGACATGCTCAAGTTACTTGCAGACTTTCGGAAGTGAGTCTCAAGGCCATACTTATTTCCACACCTGAAAAACAGAAGTTGTTCAGTGGAAAGGGAGAAAGCAGGAGCAGTCTTTTCAGTTGCTCAGCTCATACACCAAGGCGTGTTGGATGAGCGTGGAACTTTTCCTCAAGTCCTTGAGCAGGAAGAAGGGGTTTAAAGTCAGAAGAGTTACCTGGTTAATTTGAATTGTATAAAGAATGTTATTGGTGGTGCTGTGAAGGGTTTGTTGGGTAGAGATGAGCCCAGGGAGGAAAGAGACAATTGAGGAACCTTCGGCAAGAGGTGGGCAAGGACTCAGCAAAGCCATCGCAAGTGGAAGTAGGAAGAGTAGGAAATAGGACTAGTTCACGTCACGTTGACAGGTGCAGTTACTGGGTCTTGGCTTCCTGATTGGGTGTTAGGGTGGAAGGAGAGAGAAATGGGTGGTAGTCTCAGGTAAATAACTCCCAGTTTTCTGACTTGCACGATGGGGTGATTCGTGGTACCATTAACTGAATGGGTGATGGGGGGAAGGACAGTAACTCATATAGTACTTAACAGTTCACAGGCATTGTTCTAAGTGCTTTACCTATATTAGTGAGGGTATTTGTTTCCTAGAGCTGCTCTAACAATGCACCACATATTGGGTGGCTTAAAAGAACAGAAATCTAGAGGCTAGAAGCCTGAAGTCATGGTGTTGGCAGGGCCACGCACCCTCTGAGATCTCTAGGGGAGGATCTGTCCTCGTGTCTTTCATCATCTGGGAGCCCCAGGCATTCTTGGGCTTTTGGCAGCATAACTTCAATCTCTGCCTCCCGTCTTCACACGGCTGTCTTCCTGTGTGTCTCTGTCTATAAATTTCCTTCTTCTTATAGGAACACATCATATTGGATTAGGGCCAACCCTAATGACTTCATCTTAACTTGATTACATCTGTGAAGATCCTGTTTCTAAATAAGGTCACATTCATAGGTACTGGGGGCTAGGACTTCACCATCTTTTCAGGGAACACAATTCAACCCATGGCAATAGGGCAGAGAGAGGCTGAGTGAGGTGTCCAGCATTGTACAGCTGGTGGCAGTCAGGTGGCTGAGGATCTGGTCCCTTAACCACTGGGCTGTTCTGGTGCTCCACTGTAAGAAGTTCACTGCTGAA